CAAGAACAGACAGGCAGGCCCAGGTCCTACCCCCATGGGCAACTAGGGCAAGTCACTTTCTCTCTCTGAGCTTTGCTGTCCTATCCATCATAAGGGAACAGGCATTACTGCTACAGGGTTGCTGGGAATAAGATGCACTTCGCACAGCATAGTAATGAATGGTGGCAGAAAACAAGTCTTTTAGGCTCCTCTCCCCACCTAGCCAGCCTCTTTCCTTTCTGAGAGATGAGATTATTTTACCCTCAACACCCCCCCCCGCCCCCGTCCTTCGGAAGCCAAATTTTACTATGGATGCGGACAACCAGGAAATGGTTGCCAAGGGCAGGGCTTTGAGTAGGGATGCTTGTTGCCTAGGAAACTGCCCCACTCCGGGTTCCCTGGGGTCCCACCGGTCAATGGGTCCTGGCGCCATCTGCCGGACACAGTGCTACACTGCTTCTGAAGCTCCCAGACCCAGAGTCCCGCAGCCTGGAGCAGGGAACACTCGTCTTCCCCTTCTGCCTCCCAACATCTCCACATAAAAGGTCTTTTGCTCCTTTTGCCCCCAGATTTTCCCAGAGATTAATGGCATGGGAAGGAGTTGGAAGCACTGTGAAGGGTGGAAGAGATGTCCTTCTCTACACAGAAAGAAAGAGGACAGGGAAGCAGGACTCCTGGGAGCCTGGGGTCCGAGGGCGTCTGTCCCCTAATTGATTTCCCCGGGCTTGCAATCCGCTTGGAAGCTTTGTTTTCCACTACCCGGCTTTCCACAGGGAAGGAGCCATGGAAATGAAGAGGTTAAAGTTGAGGTGGGAGAGTGACATGTGGGCCACAGCAAGGTCCCTGGTGCAACATCCCCTCTTGGTGAGCCGCTCAGCTCCCACTGCTCCTAGACCCGAGTCCCCTTTTCTTCTCTGGGGAGAACCTTCCTACCCACTTGATAGTTGCCAGGTGAAGCCCTTGGAGCCTCAGATCGTCCTGTCCACTGGCAGAAGAGGGAGAAGCAGAAAGGTGCCTGCTATGAAACCAGGACTCCTCAGTCCAATACCCACCCGAGGCAGCCTCTGGACTTGGCCACCCTGAGGTCAGCCTGCCCTGAAAGGTGAAGGAGGAAGTGAAATATCTAAAGTTGGGATGCCTGGGGTTGGGAGTGTGCCTCTTTACCTTTTAGGATCACAAGTAGAGAAACTGAGGCACGGGGTGAGTGAAAGGCTGGTCTTTACCTATTCCAGGCTAATACCACATCTTGCTATCCAGGTACCTCCTCTCCAACTCTAGTTGGGCTGGGGTGGGGGTGGAAGAGGAAATTGACTTGGGAGCCAACACCCTGGCCCTTACCCCAGAAGTTGATGTTGTCAATGGGCTTAAGAGCAGGTGGGCAGGAGGCTGGGGACCAGGTCTACTGGGTCCCTGACCTCAGGAGGGGGGACCTGTTTTCCCTCCTTAGCTGAGCCAGGAGGGTAAGCAAGGAGGAGGCTGGTGATGGTGATATCTGTGCCCTGCAGGTGAGAAGCCCTGCCCTGAGGACCACAGGTGTGAGAGGTGGGGCTGGGTGCTCTGGCCTAGAAGAGGCCACATGGGGCTGGAGGCTCTGACCTGGTCACTGCCCTCTGCCCGGGATTCCCTGCCTGCAAACTCTCCTCAGCAGGAGGTGGGAGGGCTTCAGGGTTACAGTAAGGTGGGCAAAGTTGGCCTTCCAACCTCCTGATTAGCTGAGTCTGAGTGTCAGGCTGCAGTGGGACCAGAGAGGCTGAGGTGGGAATTTGGCCCTTACAAGTCAGAAGGGATCCTGAAAGAATAAAAAGCTCTAAGGAAGGGCAGAGGGTGGAGCCACCTCCTCCAACCCGCCTTGCCCCAACGGCTAGGTCCTCTCTTCCTCTCCAGACCCGACTCCGGATGTGAGGAAAGGGGTGGAGGGAGAGACTGAGGGCAGTTGAGTGGCTCACAGCTGGGCTCTGCCCCTGCCTCCCCTCCAGGCTGACTGCCCACTTCCTGATTGGCACTGGTACCACAGAAGCTGAAAGGAGCCTCAGAGGACTAGTCCAGTCCCCCCTGAATTGTGTCATGCCATCTGAAGGCCCCGTTCTCGGTCCTTGGAGCCTGGGGGAAGGTGAGGCCAGAGGCGTGGGCTGCCCACTCCTCCTCCTCCTCTTGGTCCCCCAGGGTGTGCCAGAGATGGCTCCACTGCTACCCCCTGATGTGAGGGTAACTTGACTCTCCTGCTCCACACACCTGCACTGCAGCCCAGGTCTCCCAGGGTCTCCTGGCCCTACCTGCTGCTCCTGCTCCTGCCCTGGCTGGGGGCAAGGGTGGCTGCCTAGGCCAAGTCCCTGCAGCTCCACCTGGCCCTCGGCTTTAACACGCTGGCTGGGAGAGTGCACCGAGCCATGTCCTTCGAGGTGGCTCTCCTTGGGTGGCTACACCTTTGCACAGACGCTGCTGACCACAGGCTGGGGCCTGGGGCACCACAGCAGCACGGTCCAGCACTTGTGGGGCCGTATCTTCACCAACCTGGTGGTGGGCAGCCTGGACCGCATGGTGCTGGGTGTGTGCCAGGGAGGGGTGAAGGGGTGCCTGTGCTGCACAGACCTGGCTGGACTCCAGGTAGGCAGGCAGTTCTGCTGACCGAGGCAGCTCTGATCTGCATTTCTCCCAAATGTGGTTCTGGGCTGCCTCTGAACATCCACCTGCTGTGGCCTTCCTACCCAGAGTCTCCCTCCCTTTGTCCCACTTGAGCCTCCTGCACGGTGGCTGAAATTGCAACACAGAGTGAGTGTGTTGCCTGGGTCCACACTTACATGAGTTTACTGCCCAGGCAAGGGGAGGACACATAAGACACAGTAAGACTCATTTACTCACACCTGTAATCCCAGCACTTTGGGAGGCCGAGGTGGGTGGATCACCTGAGGTCAAGACTTTGAGGCCAGCCTGGACAACCTGGTGAAACCCTATCTCCACTAAAAATACAAAAATTAGCTGGCTGTGGTGGTGTGTGCCTGTAATCTCAGCTACAAGGCAGCCACCCTTGCCCCCAGCCAGGGCAGGAGCAGGAGCAGGAGCAGGAGCAGGAGCAGCAGGTAGGGTCAGGATGCCCTGGGAGGCCCGGGCTGCAGTGCAGGTGTGTGGAGCAGGAGAGTCAAGTTAACCTCACATCAGGGGGCAGCAGTGGAGCCATCTCTGGTGCACCCTGGGGGACGGAGCAGGGTGGAGTGCAGTGGTACAAACTCGGTTCATTGCAACCTTCACTTCCCAGGTTCAAGTGACTCTCTTGCCTCAGCCTCCTGAGTAGCTGAGATAACAGGCACCCGCCACCATACCCAGCTAATTTTTGTATTTTTAGTGAAGACAGGATTTCACCATGTTGGCCAGTTTGGTATCAAACTCCTGACCTCGGGTGACAGAGCAAGACTCTGTCTCAAAAAAAAAAGAAAGAAAAAAGACTCATTTACTGAGCACCTGTAACCTTCCATGTTCTCACGGAATCCTTGCAATGAAGCCTGGAGGTGGGTGCTGTGTCATCTGCTTTGCTTAGGACACATACTGTGGCAAGTCTCCGACCATGTAACTAGATGCACAGAATTCCTCTAAAACAGTAATTCTCTAACCTTAGTATGTATCAGAATTGAGGGGCCGAGTAGCAACCCAGAGGCCCAGAGCTGATCCTCCTATGGCAAGCCTAGGACTTGTTCGTTACTAGCTCTCCAGGTGATTCTGACATGCACCAAACTTCCAGGGCCACTGTTTTAAACTCCCCTGGAAGGGCCACACCAGTGCTACCATACCTCAAGTTAGGGGAGATGACCTACAGTAATTCATCCGGTTGGTCCGCTCTATTGACCAACTAGGTTTGTTTCAAAAGGGAACTTCTCCCTTTGAACCTCTCATGCCCCTGATTCAGAGTGACTTGGCATTTACCTGAAAACCCTTGGATCTTTCACATCTCAATGGCTGGTCAAGCTGCCATTGATTTTTGTAAACCAATGCACAAGACAGACCATGGAACGTGGCTGTTGTGGTCCATCCCATCTCCTGGGACCTGGGCGTTGTCCCCCCCTCCCAGCTGGGTTACCTGATTCAGGTGCTCATCAAAACACCAGGACACAAAGCCTCCCGGGACTGTCAATGACCCATTCACTTTGCAACAACTCCTGGAGCAGATGTTGAACCAGCTCTGAGCCACCTGATACTCCTGCTGTCCAGCTCTTTCCTTCTTGTCCCTGGAAGCACAAAGCTAAAAAATGATGCCGTGAGAGGCTGGGTCCTGAGCACATGGCTCTCTGGGCCAAAGAGGCCTGGGAGACGGCAGGCGTTGGCATGGCATGCCAGCAGGGAGCTGAGGGGCCCCTCCCTTAGCCACAGGAGTGTATCCAGCTCTTCTTGGCCTGCTCATTCCTGCTGCCTGAGCATCCCCTGGCCACCTTCCCTGCCTCTGCCTACTTGAATAGTGTCTGTACCTTCAATGGACAGCTTTGTGCCCACTGCCCAAGCACAGAGACACAGGAAGGCAATGTGAATGTTTCAAAACAGCTCAACTCTACGGGGTATTCAGCAGCCCATGTGACAGTGCTGTCTCCACCAGCAGGAGTGGAGGCTGGGAGGTGGGTCCTGACCCACTCTGCTTTGTACCTACAGGTGTTTTGGCAGATGAGACCACAGGCCCTGGCCATGCTGTCCTTCCACCTGTGCCCTAGCTGCACCACATGGCATGATGAGGCTGTGGTGGACGTACTGGCAGCCGACTGTGAGGCCCCAGCACTGGAATTCTACCACCGTGATGACTCCCCGCGATGCTGCCTGGCTGCGAGCTGCTGACCAGCTTGCGGCAGGTGAACTTGCCAGTGTGGCACCAGCCTGGGAGACCTCCCGACGTGGGCCCCACCTGTGCCAGCACCCCCCCATGCCGCCCACACTACTGCAATGCCCTCATCACCTTCCTGGGGACACAGGGCCTGGCACCACATTCCCCAGCCCAACTCTGATGGGGCTCCAGCCACCCAATGGACAGGGGACACAGAGGATGGTGGAGATGTTGAGACCTGCTTGATTTATTCTGATTATTTAATATACAATGACACGATTGTAATCCCAAAGTGTGCAAAGTTAAAGCCTTCAACTGCAGCTGAGGAGAGGGCAGGAATGGTACACCTGGGGATGGTGGTGAGTCAGGAATGATGGGCAGGCGGCCATGACCAGGGCAGCCTCCTCCCCAGGGACAGGGACAGGGGAGTGGCCTCAGGAGCAGGACCCAAGAGTAGCCCAGGGCCGGGGAAGGGGGCAGATACCTCCCCTTGGCCTAGGTCAGGAGCTCAGAAGTGTCACATGGCTGAGGGGGCAGCGGCCCAGGAACAGGGCCAGAGGCAGGGCCAGGAGAGCACCATTTCCTAGGGGGCTGGGGGCAGGGAGGTGCCCTACAGGAGAAGCCAGGAGGGGCTGCCTGCCCCTGGGGTGGGGGCCGGGCTGGAGCAGGCTGCAGCAAGAAAGACCTGAGGCAGGCGCAGGGCCTGAGAGCCTGGCTGGCTGGGCTCGGGCGGGGGCTCCCAGGGCAGCCTGGCCCAGGGAGCAGACCTGACTCTGGGGGATGCCCAGTGAGGGGCCACAGGCCCCTCAGAACCTCCCCCCTCTCTCCCTGGAAAGGAGCTGGGGAACCCGTAGTGCAAATCTGTGGACCACTCAGTTATGGAGGGAAGCTGCGTCTGAAGGCAGACACTGGGGTGTGCCCCCTCCACCACCTCGGCCTCCGCTGCTGTCCTCAGTACAGCCGCTTCTCGTAACTGTGGGGACAAGGCAAGAGGGAGAACCAATGTAGGTGTGCGGATCCTGCTCCTGCCCAAAACCCTTTCCCCAGGGCCCCCAGATGCGGGAGAGAGCAGAGAGCTAAGGAGCTCTGGGATCTCAGCCGTAAGGGGTGGGAGGAGGGCCTTGAGCAGGCCCTGGGCCTATCCTCCCCAGGCCAGCGATCCCTGAAGAGCCGTGCTGGGTTCAGCATGCTCCTTTGGGCCATCACCACATCTGAGTGGACTGTCCTCAGTGCCCAGGGTGAAGAGACAGCTCAGACAGGCACGGCACATCCTCATGGAGCAAGCTCCAACCCGGAGCCGAACCTCTGCTGCCCGTGTCTGCACCCAGCCCCAGCCCTGCAGGCACAGTGGCCTAGACTGCTCGTGGTCACTGGGTCCAGTCTAAGACGGAGCAGCCTTAGGCCTGAGCTCACGGGTGTCTCTCTGCAGCCAGAAAGGGATCTGTGTTTCAGCGGGATGAGTGGCCACCACTGGTTTTTTCCACCATGGTGCTAGATATAGAGGGCTTGGGGGGCCCAACCCGGGGTCCATGTCTCATGACTACACCCCAGCGCCCTCCCACCCTCACCCAGTACCCACCCCCCTACAAGCCCAGGTCCCACCCAGACTGCCCCTGCTCTACTCTACGCTTGGCCCGGGCAGCGCGGTTACTTACACGGCAGAAAGGTATAGCTATGGGAGGGTGGGGCGGAAAGAGACACAGGTTAGACACCCGCTGATGCCTGGGGACAGGGCTCCTGACCAGGGCGGGGCACATGCCTGCAACTACCGCTGCCAATGAGCACTGCCCCCGCCCGTGGATGCCCCAGTGCCAGCCCTGGCATCCGTCTCTCTGCCCTTGTCCCCGCCAGAGGGGTCATACCCCCATCTTTTTCCTGCCTGCCTGGTGCCACCACCAGCAAGAACCCAGCACCACCAGCCCCTACCACCAGCCACCAAGCTTCCTGAGCAAGCAAGGGCTGACAGTCCAGATGCAGTGAGTGGCCACACCTCCTGTGCCCTGCTCAGGAGAGGCCCCCAAAGGAGGAGAGCGCCTGCCTGCATGGGGGCTAGAGGACAGGGAACAGAGGGCTGGGCCCTGGAGGAGAGGGCGACAGGCCATTCTGTAGCAGCATCTGTCCCTGCTGCAGGTGGTCCATGGGGGTCCCTGGAACCTCAGCCTGGCCTCAGAACCTTGGCCCCACCTGCCCAACCCGCTGCCTGCAGGTGAGAGCCGAGGAGGCCACACACTTACGAGTGCAGGCCATGGACGCCACCCTCGATCTGGGCCGACATGGTCCGCTTCTCAAACTTGAGCTCTCCTGAGTACATCATGGACCTGGGAGGCAGGGAGGTGGAGCAGGTCAAGGCCACCAAGGGTGGAGAAGAGAGAGAGAAAGGAAGCAGGAGCCGCCCCAGTCTCAGCACTCACCGAAGGACAGACAGGCTGCGGGCTCCAATATCCTGGCAGCCATGCTGGATGCCTGCTATGAGGTAGGGCACGAACTTCTGAATAGACCCTTTGTCCTGGATGGAGCCTGAGACACCCTGTGCAATCTTCACCTTATCCCCCTCGCTGCATGGAGGGTGGGAGACTGAGTCCAGCAGCGTGACACTCAGAGGACCCCACCCAGTCAGATTAGGGGCCAGCCCACCCCTAAGAGCACCACAGGGGATTCTGATGGGGAAATCAAGCTCAGAGGACACCGCCCAGGAGGGTCCCCCAGGCTGCTCCTTGCTGGGCAGGTAGCCCTGAGTCAGGTGGCCCAAGGACAGAGCCTATATCTACTATTTATCCCCTGTGCCTCGGTTTCCAGAACCACCATATGGGACTGGTTGCCATCTGGGGAAGTCAGTGGTGTGGGTGGCCCTGAAGGGTTGTGGGATGATCTGCCCAGGTGGGGCCCAGGGGCAGGGCACCTGAAGTATCGTTTCTGGCTGCTGCTGCTCTTCTCCATGGCATCCAGCGAGCCCATGCCCCGGTATTTCTTGAGCCGCACTCCGTCTGAGAAGAAGTACTCACCGGGGGCCTCCGTGGTGGCGGCCAGCAGGGAGCCCATCATCACTACAGTGGGCAAGGGATTAGTGCCTCCAGCCCACAGCCTCCTACTGCCCCCACCTGCTCAATCCCCAGCACATTCTCCCCTCACCTGTGGAGGCTCCAAGGGCCAGGGCCTTGACCACGTGCCCCACGGTCTGGATGCCGCCATCAGCTATGATGGGCACACCAAAGCGCCGAGCATACTCGGCCACCTTGTACACAGCAGTGCCCTGGGGCCGACCGCAGGCCATCACTGCGGGGGGGGGGGGGGGGTGGAGTGCACAAGGCAGAGAAGAGTCAATGGCAGCTCCAGGGCCAGGCACAGGACTAGGCCAGCTCTTCCTCCCATGCACCACCTCTACTCGGGAAAAGGGACAGGACTAGACGGTGTTCCTGAGCCATAACATAGGCACTGGCACATAACACCAGGATGAATGTCACTCCAGGGATCTGGGCCACCCCACCCCTAAGAGCATGGCAGGGGATTCTGATGGGGGAATCAGAAGTGGCTTTCAGAGCCTGTCACCCCAAGACAGGTGACTCCAGCCCACCTGCTCCCAAGGCACAAGTTCCCCTTCAAGGCTTTTGTTTGCAAAAACTGTTACTAGAGTTAGGTGCTATGGTCCCCTTTGGGATACTGGTTTGTATTTCTTTAAGTCTAACTGTCCAAGGCCCTTCAGTGTCAGGTTTAGGTGGGGACTGAAATGAACCAGCACCTATCTAGAGATGGATGCAAAGCTGGATAAACCAGAGATGGGGCCTCTCATTGGTTTTGTCCCTACTCTACTCTAAGGCTTTGAATAGTGCCTGAGACAAGTAGGTGTCCAATTAATATTTGTTATGTGAGTGAGAAAGGGTCCTCATTTCACCATGGTGGTCAGCTAAGGCGAAGGGCACTAAATTAAAAAGCAGAGGCTCTGAAGACCAACAGGGAGAGCTGTTTAGGGCAGCAAAGGCCAAAGGTATCACTCAGTGTTTTGGAGAAATGACCTTCACAGGAGGGGCCGGGTACATCTCCTCAGGCAAAGCCAGGACCCCAGTCCTCCAGGCAGCCACCCTACAAGTCAGACACCAGCCTTCAGGAAGCACCTCCTTAGTAACCACATGGGGGACACATGTCAGGGCCCTCCTTCCCTCTTTGTGTTCAGGAACCTACCCTGCAAAAGAGCTTTGTAATTAGGTGGAGCTCCCACCCCCCAACCTCACGGTGATGCGGGGGTATAATATATCCTTACATGTTCAGGGACATGTTGTCTCTGTATCTTAAATATCTGCCTTGTCACAAATCGAATCAAACCCTGAGCTTCCAACAATCCCCTTGGACAGTTACACCAGCCCCAGGCCCCAGGTGGGGCCCCCTTGACCGCACTCTGAGAAGTAGGCTGGAGCTCTCTCGTCCTGCTTACACCTGCCTTCCCCTAAGTCAGTGGGCCCAACGGTGGGGTCCAGGCCTGGATCACCCCAGAGCCCACCATGGCAGAACAGAGCCTGGCAGAGAGAGCACTCGATATGCAGCTGGGGAACAAGGGCGAGGCCCCCAGGTCAGCGGGCACTCGCTCACCTCCTGACACCCACCTTCCTGGGTGATGCAGATGGAGCCGCAGCCCATGCCCACGCGCAGCCCGTCCACACCAGCGTCAATCAGGTTCTTGGCCTGGGCTGCTGTCACCACTGGAGGTGGGAAGGGGCAGAGGAACAATGTGAGGATAAGATGCCCCTGCCTGCCCAACAGCTTCCTGGGACCCCAGTGTAGCACCCCCAACCCCCTTATGGTGACCAAAGTCCATCACGCTCCCTGCTGCCCATGCCAGGAGCCATGCCATCACCTAGGGAAGCTGAAGGGCAGGAAAGGGTTACTCAGTGGAGGGGCAGGAGCAGTGGGGAGAGAGGCGACCCTGCACTCACCGTTCCCCCCAATCACCTGGAGATGGGGGTACTTCTGCTTGATGTAATGCACCATGGCAATCTGATACACTGAGTTCCCTTGGGACGAGTCCTGTGAGAAGGGATGGAAGCGCTTGGACTTAGATAGCTGAGGACTCTCAAGGCAGAAGGGAGAGCCTGAGTGGATGAACCCCTAAAATCCTGTGAAAACCGTTATGAGAATCCTCTTCCGTTTTTTTTTTTTTTCCTGGAAATTCACTTGACAACTTTTACTTGATTCTCAAAGGGGACTGTGTCCCCAAAAGGTTAACCACCAATAATGTAGTTTTAGAGTAGATATGGCCTTAAATTTTTTTTCTTTTTTGAGACAGAGTTTCGCTCTTGTTGCCCAGGATGGAGTGCAATGGCACGATCTCGGCTCACCACAACCTCTGCTTCCTGGGTTCAAGCGATTCTCGTGCTTCAGCCTCCCAAGTAGCTGGGTCACAGGCATGCACCACCACGCCCGGTTAATTTTGCATTTTTAGTAGAAATGGGGTTTCTCCATGTTGGTCAGGCTGGTCTCGAACTCCCGACCTCAGGTAATCCACTTGCCTCAGCCTCCCAAAGTGCTGAGATTACAGGCATGAGCCACCGAGCCCACCCGGCCGATGAGGCTTTTTACATTCACTGTACAGACTGATCCTTACAGCAAGGAGAAACTGCCTGGAGCCGTATCCTCTTCCCACCAAGTCACTAACCAAATGAAATGACTTAACTTCTTTAAGCCTGTTTCTTCATCTGAAAACAAAATGGCGACTGTCCCTCAAGGGGCTGGTATACATAACGGTCTTGACGCAGTGCCTGGCAAACAGGCAGTTCTCAGTGAACATGAGCTAAATTATTAGGGTCAACTTATGAGCCAAGAAGGCCCTCAGAGGCCTTTGTTTGCAGCCTGTTGTGAGCTGCTGAGAGTGCCAGTGACCCTCCTATTGTGATTTTCCTGCTAGTCCTAGAATACAGATAAATCTAGATATATGGTCCAGATCATTCACAGGGGGATCATAAGTTTTGATCCTCATTCTAGTTCCCTTTGCTGGGGGGTGGTCTTGATTTGCATTTGTTGCTTACAGCAATTTGTCATTTTTTCAAAGACTCAGTATGTACTTGTGCTTGTTGGTTAAATGGGCATACTGCATACTGGTGAGAACCGGGCTCCAGGGTACCTAATACCCTCATGGTGAAAACTGTGGCTGATGAGAAATTTCTCATCCTTCCTCGCCCTCCCAGCCTCGCCCATTTTGGAGTCCCCAGTATGTATTATTTCCATCTTTATGAACATGTGTGCCTTCTGTTTAGCTCCTTCTTATACGTGAGGGCATGCAGTATTTGGTTTTCTGCTTTGGAGTTAGTTCACTAAAGATAACGGCCTCTAGCTCTGTCCATGCTGCTGCAAAGGACAGAGTTTCATTCTTTCTCGTGGCTGTGCCATTGGAGAATTTTAATTTGCTTGTTTTCTTTCTTTGTATCTCAGATGACACAAATCGCTTGTTTTTTGAGATGGTCTCGTTCTGTCCCCAAAGCTGGAGTGCAGTGGCACGATCCTAGCTCACTATGACCTTGAACCCCCAAGCTCAGGTGATCCTGCTGCAGACACTCCTAATTCTGACACCAGGGAGCACTTGGAAACAGAGAGGAAGAGTAGCAAGGGAGGGGCACAGGATTAATCACAGGTGAACCTGGGTCCTCATGAACCTCCACTCTGCTGAACCACCCAACCACCTTCCCCACCACCCAGGAGGGACCTTACCAAAACTATGACATCGACGCCTGCCTGGGTGAGCAGGTCCAGGCGGTATTTGTCATCCTCACGGGTGCCCACAGCTGCCCCGCACAGCAGCTGCTTGTGGGAATCCTTGGAGGCCAGAGGGTAGTCTCGGTTCTTCTTCAGGTCGGTGCGGGCGATGATGGCCACCAGTTCATCATGATCATTGACAATAGGCAGCTTCCCTGACAAGGAATGCAGGGGTGAGAGGAAGAAGCAGGTTTGGCAGGAAGGGGTTTGGGAAGTGTTGGGGAGGGTGAAGATGCAAGTGAGACCACGCGAGAGATTCCACTGAAGTACCTCAGGCAGCCACTAGGTGACAGCACCCCCCAGAAAGTGTTCCTAGGGACACAGACCTCTTCCCAAATAACAGGGAGCAAAGAAACCTCTCAGCCCAGCAGGTTCTGGCGGGTGTGTGGATGGGCAACAACATGACCTGGGATGGGCAGCCCCTGAGCACTGGCAGCCTTTCACCTGCTGGGCCACAGTGGCCGAAATCTCCTAGCCAGGAGTGAAGCTGCCCTGTAGGGAGAAGCATGTGCCCTATCCAAAACAAACTCCGAAGAACCCTCCAGCATGGACCAGGGATGCATTTCCAGTGTAGGCAACAGTGACCTGGTGAATATTTTATTTTTCCCTTTTTTCTAAAAAGCCAAAGTTGGCCGGGCACGGTGGCTCATGGCTTCCTCTCTTTCGGAGGCCGAGGCCAGTGGATCACTTGAGGCCAGGAGATCACTTGAGGCCAGGAGTTCAAGAACAGCCTAGCCAATATGGTGAAACCCCATCTCTCCTAAAAATACAAAAAAATTAGCTGGGTGTGATGGTGTGCACCTATGTCCCAACTACTAGGGAGGCTGAGGCAGGAGAGTTGCTAGAACCTGGAAGGTGGAGATTATAGTGAGCTGAGTAACACTGTACTCAAGCCTGGACAACAGAGCAAGACTCCATGTCATAAATAAATAAATAGCCAAAGTTGTGGCCAGGCATGGTGGCTCACACCTGTAATCCCAGCACTTTGGGAGGCTGAGGAGAGCAGATGGCTTGAGGCCAGGAGTTCAAAACCAGCTGGGCAACATGGTGAAACCCCATTTCTACTAAAAACACAAACAAAAAAAAAAAATTAGCTGGCGTAGTGGCACACACCTGTAATCTCAGCTACTTGGAAGGCTGAGGCATGAGAATCGCTTGAACCCAGGAGGCAAGGGTTGCAGTGAGCCAAGATCGCCCCACTGCCCTCCAGCCTGGGTGACAAAGTGAGACTCTGTGCCAAAGTTGTTTCTAGCTAGTAAATATAGAAGCAGCTCCAATGTCAAATAAATTTAACTGCAGGACTTCTCAGAGCCTTTAATACGCTAATGTGTAATTCTTTATGCAAGATAGGGGATAGGGAAAGGAGTTGCTTCTCAGGCTTTTAAGACCACAGAGGCTTTGTTTGTGATGAGCATCTCACAGGACTAGTTTTGGGGAACATACTGTGAAGATCCTGCATGAGGGACAAGCTTCCCTAAGCCAAGAGAAGGATGGCAGGAATTGTGCTCTGACCTGCCTGAGGTTATTCAAACCTTTTCCAGGGCCCAGTCTGGTTGCTGGGAAAACCTGCGAAGCTCTGAAGGAACGGGGCTGTGGACAGGGAGTTAAGCTGGGGGTCAAGTTTTCAACTAGCTCCCTGGTACCTTTCTTGCTACGCTGCAGGATCTCATTTGCCTCTTTCAATGTCACGCCTGCTGGAGCCACCACCAGCTCGATCCTTGGTGTCATCACCTGTGGGGCCAGGAACATTTGCCTGCAGGTTGGCAGGTGAGAGAGAAGGAGCCAGGCCTCCCTCTGGTCCCTGGTCACAGGCACCAGTCTGAGGCCCCAGCGTGAGGGTCCTCTCTGCACCCAGCCCTGTTTCCCTGCCCTGCAGGTACCTCACTGAGGAGGGTGGTGTGGTCCTTCTCAGCAAGAAAGTCGATGTCTCGGGAGGTGACGATGCCTACCAGCTTGCTGCCCATGGTGCCCGTCTCGGTGATGGGGATGCCAGAGAAGCCATGCCGCATCTTGGCCTCCAGCACGTCACCCACAGTGTGCGAGGGGCTCAGCACCACGGGGTCCGTGATGAAGCCCTGTTCAAACTTCTGTGGGCAGAGATGAGGGGAGGAAAGGCTGAAAGAAAGCCCAGGATGATGTCTGGGCTGGCCACAGGGAACAGAGAATGCAGCTGTGCCGCAGAGAAGCCGGGACCCTCAGTGGGATGAGGAACCAATGGGAAAATGAGGGTTTGGCCCCATGACCCCACTGAGAGGAAGGACGCCCAGGGAGTGTCGCAGTGCAGGGCTGGCAGGGGAGGCTGGGAGGGCCTCTGAGGTGGGCACTGCCAGGTGGCATCTTGCTGGGGACAGTCCTTGTACTTGCCTTGACCTTCCGCACCTCGTTGGCCTGGAACTCTGGGGTGCAGTTGTGGTGAATGAAACCAATACCTCCCATCAGCTGATGTAGAAGGGAAGGGTGGTTAGAGCTGGGGCCCATCTGTCCTCAGCCCTGCCCCTCAACACAGCCCGCCAGTCAGTTCCCATGCCCTGGAGTCCCCACACAGGTGTGTCACTCACAGCCATTGCAATGGCCATGTCAGCCTCTGTCACAGTGTCCATGGGGGAGGAGATCAGCGGCGTCTTCAGCGTGATCTTCCGGGTCAAGGCTGAGGTCAGGTCCTGAGGATGGAGGCACAGCCCATGTGAAGACTTATTCACCAACTCCTACATATACCCAGCACCAGGACAGGCCCTGGGGATACGGCAGTGAACAAGGTGGATGAGGTCCCTGCTCCTCTAACGGAGCTTATGTTCTACTTTGGAAAGAAAGATGACAGACAGGACACACGCTCAAGATGACTTCAGTCAGGATGAATGCTGCAGAGAAAAACAAGAAGGCCAGGTGGCAACCAGGTGACTGGGGAAAGCCTCTTTCCAGGGAGGGGACTGGTGGGAGCCGATCAAGTAGAAGTCAGAGGGCTGTCACTCCCGGCTGAAGGGGCTAAGTGCAAACCTTCCTCAGAGTCCAATTCTTTTGGAGGCACATTTAAGAAAGAAAAAGAAGGTCAGGGGAGTGGAGGGCAGGGAGAGGCACGAGGAAGGTAGGGGCAGCATGCATGGCCTCAAAGACCATGGAGAGAAGCTCAGATCCAACTCCAAGAGAAGCCATTGGAGGGTCTTGACAGAGACATAATCTGATTTATGTTTCAAAGAGGTCACTCAGGCTCCAACATGGAGAACGAATTCTGGGTGACAAGAGCCAAGGTGGGCAGAGGCGCGGAAAAGTCTTTTAGGCGTCCAAGAAAGCAAGTGACTAATGGTCTGCAGCTCGAGAGAGTGGACAGGATTCCAAGCATCCATTTAAAAGCCACCTGCCTATGGAGGTAAGGCCAGAGCACATACCTCTCTGAGGGTCAGGCCAACAGTGGTAGACCCCAGCCCCAAGACATTTGTGCAGATTTTGCTACATAATTTTTTTTTTTTTTTTAGATTCAAAGCCCCTGAAACCCATCATTGACCCTGGTTACTCTAGGCCCATGATCTAGAAACCACCACCTTCTCCTCTTACATCATGCCACAGAAGGGCCATAGCCTTCCTGACAGAGGAGGCCACAGGACAGGGAGACCCTCACCAGCCAAGCAGAGGTTTTTCTTTTTTCTTTTTGAGATGGCGTCTCACTCTATCACCCAGGCTGGAGTGCGCTGGTGTGGCCTTGGCTTACTGCAACTTCCACCTTTCAGGTTCAAGTGGTTCTCCTGCCTCAACCTCCTGAATAGCTGGGATTACAGGCACCTGCCAACATGTCCAGCTGATTTTCGTATTTTTAGTAGAGAAGGGGTTTCACCATGTTGGTCAGACTGGTCTCAAACTCTTGACCTCAGGTGATCCTTTCATCTCAGCCTCTCAAAGTGTTGTAATTACAGGCATGAGCCACCACGCGCAGCTGATAGGGGTCTTTTCAATCCCTCTCTTCCTAGCAGCCAGCCCAGTGTCTGACACAAAGCCACCATACTCAGTAAACTTTGTTAAACTGAAGAGCTGCACCAAGAAGCCTTCCTTGTTGTCATAAGGGAAACAACCAGAATCATCCAAATTTCCCCCCGAAAATCTGTCTGGGTCAGCTCTGGCTACACGCAGGACATGAGCTTCCCTCACGTCAGTGATCCAGGCACACTCAGGCCCTCTAGCCTTTCATGAGAATCAGATCAGAATAAATAGCAATAATAATAGCAACAGAAAACAAATGGGATTTTTCCCAAAATATGTATGAATTCATCACAGAATCATGGTACTCTTTCTTGCAATTACTTACACCATCATCACTACCCACCTTGGCTTCTCTGAGTGTATCTTATGTTAATTGTTCATTGATTCAGCTCATTGATGAGCCCCCCCTGGGAAATCAAGGCACTGTTTCCTTGTATTTATCCGAAATGTAACTCTTTCAAATCCTCTTGCCAGTTCTTGTACATTGCAGATCAGTGAACAAGTCTGTCTACCATTTTCAAGTCTCCATGATTTTACTGGCTTCAATCATGTCCTTGTTCAGCATTTCAGACAAAATCCAATCCTTATGGTCTCTACGATAAGACAGCCACTCCCAAGTCCACCCCTCCCAGGCCTCCTCTGAACCTGCCCACAGGCTCTGTCGCTGACACAGAGCCACCCAGCCCTGGGCCAGGCCTCACTCAAGACACTCCTGTGTCCCCATAGCTGCCTCTGGCCCCATCAGGTATAACCCTTTGATGTCTGCCAGTTTCTCTGGCAACAATAAAGGCTATATCCACCTATTCTGGCTGGCTGGAATCACCCCTGTAATCACAGCATTTCGGAGGCTGAGGTGGGCAGATCACTTGAGCTCAGGAGTTGAAATCACCCTGGCAAACATGGTGAAACCCTGTGTACACTAAAAATACAAAAATTCTCTGGGGGTCTAAACTAAAAATACAAAAATCATCGGGGGTGGTGGCATGTGCCTGTAATCCCAGCTACACAGGAGGCTGAGGAAGGAGGATCACTTGAACCTCGGAGGCAGAGGATGCAGTGAGCCGAGATCACACCACTGCACTCCAGCCTGGGTGACAGGGTGAGACTCTCTCAAAAAAAAGGAGGGGGAGGGGCTACATCCTATCCACCATTCCCAAAAAAAGTCTCTCCACACCTTGCCCCTGAGCAAGAAGTCAGCCTCTTCCACCACACACACAGTCCCCTCCCCTTGTCAAAGGAAGAGGTACTTACCACCTCATCAGCAATGAAGTCTATGAATCCTGGGAGGATCAGGAAGTCGCTGTGAAGATAGAGAAGTGTTACTGGTGGGGAGGGGTGCCCCAAAGGGGCAGAGCCTGCCATGCCAGAGGAGGCAGCAGGGGCATGCAGAAAAGCCTACAGGAGCAGAGGCTAGAGCCCTCCTGTCCCTACTGCCCCATCAGGGCACTTCCCACCTCGTGCTCCCAACTAGAGTCTGGCAAACTCCAGCCCCAAGAGGTAGAGCCAAAGACAGCGTAAGGTCTGCTGGGGTGCCATCAAGGCAATAGGCCCAAAATATCCACTGCCTTCAGGGCTCAGAGTTTGTCAAGCGACACAGAAGTTCCCATATTGCCACATGCAGCAGACACAGTGCCTGCCTTTGAAAACTTCTCAATCTTGATGGGGAGACCAAATAAGTAAACACAGAGAACAATTTTGTAGCACAGCACAGCATGAACATGACCCAGCACGGGACAAGCCTTACGCCCCAGTGCCTGGGCTGCTGAGTCACACAAGGCTGGAAACAGCATGGAGGGACCCCAGGGGGCTGAGTGCAGGGCGTATTCTTACAGAGCAGGCACTCAACAGAAATGGCCGGGATGGGAATGGGGAGGAAAGAGGCCTCAGAGGTGGGACCATGACACTGGGGCCCCAGCCAAAGGATGGCATCTACCAACACTAGGGGGGGCCACAGTCACAGCAAGCCCTGGAAGGGGAGTGCAGGCCTGTGTGGGTACATCTAGGTGCAAGGCCATAGCTCAGGGCCCCAACCTGCTAAAATCACAGCAGGCCTTGACAGACACACCCAAAAGCAAATATCCCACACTTCAGGAACACTCTGAACTGGGCTAAGCAAATCAGCAGGCATCCCTAGCACAGGAAGGAAAGCCACAGGGTGGAGGGGAGTGGGCTGTGAATCTGCCCTAAGGCCTAGAGAAACTCCTAGGCGTTCCCCTGGGGAGTTCCCCTAGAAGACTTCAGTGACAACTGTATCAAAGGTAGACTCCAATCTCATCCCCCCCCCCCCCCCCCCCCCCCCCGCAGCAAAGAAACAAAGAATGTCAGCTGCTCCCAGCCTTTGACAGCTCTTCTTCTGTATAGCAAGGAGGCCAAGGGAGAAATGCTAGTGTCTGGGCCTCCAAGCATTTTCTAGGTATTCTATACACCCCTCGCCTACGGGCAGGCAGGAGGAGACACTCCTCAGGAGTGACTGGGTATCCTGGTGTTTAGGGAAACTGCCCGCCAAGCAGGAGTGCTTACAAGCCAGGGCAGGGCTGGCAGGAGACAAGCTCTTGACTGCCCAGCATCCCCACTCTGCCCCTTCTGATGCGCCTTCCTGGCAGGGACACAGTCCTGCAGCCAGGAGGCAGAGCTAGTGCCAGGTCTGCAGCAGGCAGGACAACTGGCCTCGGGCCCACGGAAAAGGCAAATGACGCCAGAGGCAGGCAGGTAGGTCTCTGTCCTCCTCCAAAGCCCCATGTGGGGTGGGATGAGGGGTGGCAGTCACAGAATAATTCACGCCTTGGGAGGGGCACCAGGACCAACCTGTGGGCAGGCAGGGACTCAACTGGAAAAAGCGCTGGACTGGACAGTTGGAAAAGGAGCCACCCCAACCACCTGGCTGGGTATCTGCTGGGGCCACGCGGAAGCAGTTGCCTAAGCTGAGCTCCAGGGACCCTCTGCCCTCGTGGTAAGACTGGGAGGCGATGTCCTGTACCCACAGCTGGGAAAAGTCTCCCCATAACGCCCATATCTCCAGTTCCCACATGCCTCAGGGACCCTCCATGCCCCCGAGAGGAGGAAGGGGGGCAGGCCGAGCCCAGATCCGCCCAGAAACGGGTCAGGGCTCTGAGGGCCGCGGTGTCGCCGTGCCACGTCCCTCTGCCCCGGCGCGGGCCTCCTTCCTTCCCGTGCCCAGCCCCCAGCGCCCACAGCAGGCACTCGCACCAGGCCGGGAACGCCGGGGAAGCCGCGCACGTGCAGGGCCGGCCCGGGGGTCCGGCGCGTGGGTGCGCGCACCGAGGGGTGCGAGCCCCGGCTCTTACTTGTAGGTGAGGCCGTCGGCGCTGGCGAAGAGCTGCTGCGCGGTGAGCCCGTCCTCGGGCACGTAGCCGGTGCCGCCGCTGATCAGGTAGTCCGCCATGCTGCCGCGAGACCCCGCGACCCGACATAAACACCCGCGCGGCCGCCAGCCGCTGCCGCCGCCGCCGCCACTGCTGCTGACGCCGCGCTGAGGCCACGCTGCCGCCGCGGGCCGGGCGGGCCGGGGGCGGGGGCTGCGGCAGCGGCGGGGCGGGCCAGGGCACCGCCCTCTCTTCCCTCTCCTCCCGCCCCTCCGGCCCCTCCCGCGGAGACAGCTCCGCCCGCGCCGCACAAAGGGCCCCACAGACCCGGGCCCTGCTGCCGCAGCGCGTACGCCCCCAGTCGCCTGCAGTGCCCTCGCGACCCCGCCAGCCCCGACTGGGGAGGAGGTGGGGATCGCGGGGAAGAGGACGGGGCCAGGCCAGGACACGCCCCCTCCTCCGCTCCACATCCAGCCTCCCAGGACCCCCAGCAGAGGCCCCACCCCACCCCCGAGTTCTCCCCCAGCCTGGGCCACCCACCTTGCCTTTCTCCCCAGGGTACCTCTCACACGGTTCTGCCGTTCCCCAATCCCCAGTACTCTTCCCCAGCCGCGATCAAGGCCCGGAGCCCTGAGAAACCGGTCTGGGCTCTCAGCTCCCCTGCACTAAGGACTTTGAGTTTGGACCGCTATCCGACGTCCCTCCTAGGAAGCGGGCATTCTTCACAATGACACTCCTTGACCTTTGGGTGGCCTTGGAGCCGTCTGCAGTTTACAAAGCATTTTTCATAAATGAGCACATTAACTCCACAATCTATTAATTGCAAAGTACTGGGTACTCCATTCCCTTGACAGGCAAAATCTACAGTTCAGAAAGGGAGGTGGGGGTACTGCTTCTGTAACCCTGTCTCTGGCCAAGAAAATGTCGTTGGTACCAGGGCTTTTAACCTCAGAGAGCAGTTTGTTATTTGGGAGGGTCCTGCATGAGTGGGAAGATGAAGGAGGATCATAAGCCTGGCTTAGGCAAGTGTGCATAGAAATAAGGACAGGGCTAGGGAACTTCTGAAAAATCCCCAGAGCAGAAGTTGGTGGCCCTGGGTACCCAGAAAGATCCTGATTTCCACACGGGGGCAGTGACTGGGTAGCAGATTGATTCGAATGGGGAAAGGGGGGATGGCAGGATGCCACTCTTCCCTCTTATGGGAACAGAACTCCTCGGTCCCCCTACCCAGACTCCACAACCTCCTCCCTGTGTCCTCCTAGGGCTCCCACAGCTCACTTGGGAAGATGAGAATAAGGTGGCATGGGACACAGTCCCCTCCCTGGTAGAGTGGCTGGCTGTGGCCCTGGGAGGCTGGGTTTGTTTACCTCTCAGCAGTGTGGTGGCAGCCAGGCCCAGGGGAGGCTTGGCCTCCAAGCCACGAGGTTCCCTGGGTTGCCCAGCCTCCCTCATTGATGCCCCCGGGACCCTGCCAGGAAAACACAGACTGTTCCATCTGTGTGCAGAGGGGAGGCTGGGGCCAGCTTGCCAGTGATGCCTGGGAAGCACCTCTGAACCTGCAGCACTCACGGGCTCACAAGGTGAGCCCAGGCCACTTGGGGGACCAGGGAAAAGTCCTGAGGAGCACCAGCACTAGGACCTTTCACTGACCACGTGGAGCAGAGCAGTGAGACCAGCCAGAGAAAGTGCCTGAACATTCAGAGCTGTTCTGGGGTACCTTTCTGGCCACAGAAGAACAGAGCTATCATTCCAGCTGCAGGCACTGAGCAGACTACCCCAGTGGTCGCTCTGGGTCACTGGGTCACTAAGTGACCTGCTCTTGGTCACTATCCCCTACCATACGGGTCAGGAATGGCTAGAGTACTATTCGGGGTTCAACCAGAGCCCAAGGCCAAGGAGAGCAGCTGGATTTGACCATATCAGGTGACCTTTACTGTGACATCTGCCCCAGCCTAGAACTCTGGGACCCAAGGGAGGAGGCTGCCTGGCTGAGGCATGGGGAGGGTCACCTTCCCAGTGATTACAGACTTCATGGCCCCACTCCCCTCTCCTGCTCCCCAACTCACCTCCCGCTTTGACCTGTGTCGGGCTCCTCATCACTCTAAGCTGCTGGGCTCAGCCCTGGGTTAGGCTGTGCTTTTCCAGAGACTCCACTAATCCACCCCCAACCCCCCCACTCTCCTCCACCCTCTTCCTGATCTTCCCCAGCTGCTTCCTCCATGGGGAGGAGACACCGAGGAAACCAGTGAGCCGCCGCAGCCAAGGAAGGGCTGTTGTCCCCTGAGACCCCCACCTAGCAGCTGTGGGGATAGGAAGGCAGGTCCAAGCCCTTTTCTCAGGGTAGCAAGGTAGCAGTGCTCAGCTGGGTACAGAAGTCCAGGCAGGGAGCCCCAAAGGCTCTATCTGGCCTGGGGCTGTTTGAATGAACAAGATTTCAAAATACTCTTGAGGGGAAGATGGGGGAAGGGGAGAAGAGGTTATGACATTAGCACTGTTGAGCTACTACGGGGGCATAGCCTGTCCAAGTTCAAGCCAGAGAGCAATAACACCGGACTCAAATCCAGAACTGCTCACAGACTCCTGTCCTCTTCCCACAGTTCCAGGTTGGTGAAGGCAAGTGGAGGTCTGGCCAGCAGGTTTTGAATCTCACTACACCACCTGGCTGGGGCTCAGGTTTACACAGGCTCTCTGAGCCGAAGTGGGGGATGTGGGTGGGGTTGGAGTGGCGGTAGGGATGGCCCCTTGATGCAGAACTGCAGTTTGGAGAAGGATGCACTCACATGGCTTGGGCCTGAGCTCTGAAACAATATGTTTGCAATCCCTGCTCTTACTAAGCCCTGCCTCCATCAAGCCCCAACCGGCTCCTTCAGCCCCTGTGGCCCCTCCCCATCACCCTGCGCCCTGAAGCCCAGGAGCTGGATTTTTAGGATGGGAGAAAGTCTGGGGGTTGCCTAAGCCTGAGTCAATTCTAGAGAGGCAGTCTGCCCGCACAGGAGGGGCCTAACGCAGCAGACCACTGCCCAGGAGCCCCTTAAGCCGTTGAAAGTTCTTACATAAGCGGCCAGCCCCTGGGAAGAGCTGCCGGGCTAATTCCCCCAGACCGCCACCCCCAAACCCAGCTGTCAGGTCACCTCCCCAAGCTGCTATACACCAGCAGATGGGAAGAGAAAGAAGTCCAAATCCTCTGCACCGGAAGGACAGTGGGATTGCATTTCAAGCTGCGATAAAATCCAGAGATTAGCTGCTGTCTCCTTTTCAGCCAGTACCCCTGGGGCCCAGCTCACTACCCTACTCTTCCTCCAGTGACCCTCATTTCCCGACAGACCCCAGTACGGGGGCCTGCGTCTTCCGAAAGATCTTGAGGTGAGCTGCCCTGGCAGCCTCATCAGATATCAGTGCATGTTGAGGAGGGAGAGTGTCCTCGCCTAGCCCTGCGAAGGCGATCCATCTGGACACCTACACCTGCCAGTAAGACCACTGAAGATACTTCTAGGAGGAAACAGCTAAGGAGGGGTAAGCAAGTCGGACAGGGACTCCAACAAGCACTGTTTGAACCCCAGGGGCTGGAGCCACCTGAACGGGGTGTCGTCGGGTGTGTAGCGAGGTCCAATCTAGGGCTAAGATTTTAGGAAACGTTTTGACGACCTGCTCCCTCTCCTCTGCTCATCTGTGCAACGAAGCACCTAATCCTTCGCACAGTGCCCGCCTGGATCCCTCAACCAAAGCCGGGAACGTGGCGTTTTAGAAAGTTGGAGGCTGAGGCGGTAATAGGGAAAGGTGTGTGGGGCCTGCCCCTCCCCTCCCCCGCAGCGCCGCCCGGTTCCCAGAGTCGCCGCGCCCTCCTCGGCCGCCCGCCCCGGATGCGCCCCGCGCGCTCTGCCCTGGGCGTCACCTCTCGGGCTCGTAGCCGGCCTGCAGCAGTCGGGCGCTGTACCGCTGCGCCGCCGTCTCGTGTCCCGGGTGTTGCCGGGCTCCGGGCTCCGGAACGGCAGCGGCTCCGCCTCCCTGCAGCGGTAGCGGAATGAGCGGCCCCTCCATGCGGAGGCCGCAGCTCAGGGCGGGCGGGAGCCTCTCCGCCTGGAGGCTCCCCCGGCCCCGGCTGGGCAGTGAGCGCAGCCCGATCGGGTCCGGGGAGGGGCGGGACCGCCGGGGCGGGGCCTCGTGCCGGGGGCGGGGCCGAGGAATCCGGGAGTCCACTGGGCTCCGCCCTGGGCTCCCAGCTCTCCTCCGCGCCGCCACGCGGATGCCTAGACTCGGTCCGTCTCTCCCACCCCGGATTCAGCGAGGACATATCGGGGGATGAGGGGCAGAGATGTCCCTACACGGGTGGAACTGAAAAGGACCCCGTCCCTGCCCTGCTGTCCGTACCTTCCAGTGTCTCGAGGCCCCTTCCGAGGAAAACTAGAAGAGGACAGGAGCGGGCCGCCGGAGGCAGGGCTTCTCCTCGCGTCTCGGATCCGCTGCTCTGCTGCACACCGACGGTGCCAGGTCTCCTGGAGCGCCTCCTATCCGCCGGCCGCAGACCTCCCGCGCTGGGGCGAGAGGTGGGATACTCTCCATCTGCCTGTGCCTGCTCAGCCGACCCCACGTTCGAGAGCAGGGAGAGAGATTTCCACAGCGGACGAACAGAACAGACAAGGCTGCGGGCTCCTTAAGGAACAGGACCTAGTCTTGCCTCGTGGTGAAGGTACTTTGCCTTGTGATGTTACCCGTAACAAGGGAGGGGGGCAGAGCAATGTACTCCAGCTTGTTTGTTCACTTCTTAGAAAGCGCACTTTTTCCTACTGTTATCATTGTGAACCGTGATTGAACACCTACCAAAACTGACAAAGAAATGTCAAGACTCCCTGCCCTCAGGCAGTTTATTTCAGGAAACAGAGTAGATGAAAATAAACAGCTGACAATTCTCATGCCATGTACAGATGGTCCTCGACTTACAATGGTCGACTTATGATTTTTCAACATTACAGATGGATTTATCCAAAGGTAGCCCCATCTTTTAAGTAAGCTGAGAAGCATCTGGACTTTTAAACGAAGTCTGACAAGTCTGAGGGAATAAATGGTAAACACTACGTGATTGGGGGGTGCTAAAGATGTATTAGGGGTCAGACTTTCAGCAACTTTTTCTTTTTTTTTTTTTTGATATGGAGTCTCACTCTGTCACCAGGCTGGAGTGCAGCTCCTGGGCTGGGTTCAAGAGATTCTCCTGCCTCAGTCTCCCAAGTAGCTGGGATTACTGGCGCCTGCCACTACGCCCAGCTAATTTTTTGTATTTGTAGTAGAGACAGGGTTTCACCATGTTAGCAAAGCTGATCTTGAACTCCTGACCTTGTGACCCGCCCCCCTCTGCCTCCCAAAGTGCTGGGATTATAGCCATGAGCCACTGCGCCCAGCCTCAGCAACTATTTCACAAAGGAAACTGAATTCATGCAACAGTAAGGTCTTGGACTCTATCCTTCATGGAGCCTCTTCCTATGAACATACACACCCACTCCCCAGAATCAGGATTCTTTTTTTAAAAAAAAAAGTTTTGGACCAGGCATGGTGGCTCATGCCTGTAATCCCAGCAATTTGGGAGGCCGAGGCGGGCAGATCACAAGGTCAACAGATCGAGACCATCCTGGCCAACATGGTGAAACCCCGTCTCTACTATTTTGTAAAAATACAAAAATTAGCTGGGTGTGGTGGAGTGCACCTGTAGTCCCAGCTACTCGGGAGGCTGAGGCAGCAGAATTGCTTTAATCCGGGAGGCAGAGGTTGCAGTGAGCGGAAATTGCACTACTGCACTCCAGCCTGGCACATGGAGACAGAGCAAGACTGTCTCAAAAAAAAAAGTTTTAAAACTTTAGGTCTGGCACGGTGGCTCACACATGTAATCCCAGCACTTTTTAAAAAAAATTTAGGTCCAGCACGGTGGCTCACACATGTAATCCCAGCACTTTGGGAGGCTGAGATGGTCAGATCACCTGAGGTCAGGAGTTTCAGACCAGCCTGGCCAACATGGCTAAACCCCATCTCTACTAAAACATACAAAAATTAGGCCGGGCACAGTGGCTCATGCCTGTAATCCCAGCACTTCGAAAGGCCGAAGCAGGCAGATCATGAGGTCAATAGTTCGAGATCAGCCTGGCCAACATGGTGAAACCCTGTCTCTACTAAAAATACAAAAATTAGCTGGGTGTGGTGGCGCATGCCTGTAGTCCCAGCTACTCAGGAGGCTGAGGCTTAAACCTGGGAGGCTGAGGTTTGCAGTGAGCCAAGATTGGGCCACTGTACTCCAGCCTGGATGACAGAGTGAGACTGTCTCAACAACAACAAAAAAGCTAAAATTAATTCATTGATTATATTCAATGCCCTCTGATACTTTGTATTCTGTCTCCTGTTTTGGTGAGGGGCCTGATAAATTGATTTTGGACTGACCATTTTAAAAATACCACCCTAAAGCCAAAGGTTTCTGTTTGGAAATAAGCAGATAAGGTACCCATATGTGTTTATAGACTCTGAAGGAGAAACTAGTCAAAAGCAATCAATTACTCAACAGATGAAACTTAGAACTAGCTATAGCCTAAACTTTAAATGATCGTCTGTAAACATGTTAAACTGAGAAAACCCAAATCCAAATAAAGTTACCAGGACAGTAAGAATGACATGAATGATAACTGTAACATAATTAAATGTATTGTAACCCAGTGAACAGTGTTGTCAGATGAAGACAATGTACTGGGGGAGAAAAAAAAGGGTGACAGGGCAAGACTGTCTCAAAAAAGTAAAATCATGAAAAATGGAATTAAAAGATAAGAAGAAAAAAATAAACTTTATTTTCAACATAAGCTCCATCAAGTTCAAGACACATCCCTAAGCCATGACACCAGCCATTTCACCCATCCCTAAAGAACTTAAGGTCTTTGGAATTTAAGCAAGTCAGTGCAGTGTTTTTTTGTTTTGTTTTGTTTTACATGATTAATTGAAGAAAAATAGGAGTCCTTTAAGGATTTTTTTCTTTCTTTTTTCTCTTTTTTTTTTTTTTTTTGCGAGACAGAGACCCGCTCCATCACTCAGGCTGGAGTGCAGTGGGGTGATGTTGGCTTACTGCAACCTCCTCCTCACAGGTTCAAGTGACTCTCCTGCCTCAGCCTTCCTAGTAGCTGGGATTACAGGTGTGGACCACCACACCCAACTAGTTTTGTATTTTTAGTAGAGACGGAATTTCACCATGTTGACCAGGATGGTCTCGATCTCTTGACCTCGTGATCTACCCACCTGGGCCTCCTAAAGTGCTGGGATTACAGGCGTGAGCCACCTTGCCTGGCCTGTTTCATCTCTTTTACAAGTCTTCAAAGAAACGCTTCAGCATCTTGATCCCACATGTTTAAAATTTCCATTGAATGTTCTGCTCTTATCTGTGGCTGCTTTGGACACAGACCTCCTAAGCTAGGGCAAGAGAGGTGGAAGATACTATCCATCTCCCTTTGCCTACTCAACAGACTTCAACTTGGATCGGAGAAAAATAGGTTTTCAACATCCCTTACCTGCCACTGAGGAAGTTTTGGCACCTATTGAGTGGAAAGTTTGCTCAACTTTAATTCTTTTCAGTCAGAATTGTGTAAACTGAACCAACTGAGATATCTACGATGGTGGCTGTTGTTTTTGCTATTAATCATCAGCCTCTTCAGTTATGGCACAAACGAGATTAATTTTTTCCTTGCAAATTGATGTAGATGGTCTGCTGCTTTAGGTTTCTTCTTCAACACCTTATCCCTTCTTACAATCAGTTATCCATTTGTAAACTGCTGATTTTGTTGGGACATTGTCCCCGTAAACTTTGGATAAAGCTCAGTGATTTCATAATTCTTCCACCTAAATGTTATCATATATTTAATGTTTGTTCTTGCTGCAGTTTTAGCAGAATTCATGTTGCTCTGATGGGGGCTCTTTTCAAACTGATGTCTTATCCTTTTTAGTGCCTCAAACTAGATCCTGTTCAGATACATTATAAAAAGTTAGTATGAGTATATTTTGGTGCAAAAAAAAATTGAAGTCCAGGGATAGTTTTTTTCATTTTATACATATATATTTTTATGAGATGGAGTCTTACTCTGTGACCAAAGCTAGAGCAGAGTGATGTGATCTCAGCTCACTGCAACCTTCACCCCCCAGGTTCAAGCAAGTCTCCTGCCTCAGCCTCCCACGTAGCTGGGATTATAGGCATCTGCCACCACGCCTGGCTAATTTTTGTATTTTTAGTAGAGATGGGGTTTCATCAGGCTGGTCTTGAACTCCTGACCTTGTAATCCACCTGCCTCAGCCTCCCAAAGTGCTGGGACTACAGGTGTGAGCCACCATGCCTGGTATAATATACATTTTCTATGAACTTTTTGAAGACCTCTCATATATCACAGCAGACTAGGGCCAGATCCTGCAGTTAGGTGGGCCGTGGCCCAAATCTAGTCTTACTATATCATCACCCAAGTCATGAACCGTCTCTGAGTCACAGTTTCCTCATCTTTCAAGTGGGGTTAATACTCTATCTCATAAGGTTGTTTTGTGATTGACACATGTAAAGTTCTTGGTACATAGTAGGGTTTCAATAGACACAATGATTATTGTAAACTAAGTAAGTTGTAGCTAACCTCTATACTTTTGACCCCCAGCTAAATACAATACATGACTTCTATTATATATCCATTCAACAAATGTTCATTGGACACCTCTCATGTGCCAACTAGATGCTGGGAATATAATGGTGAGCAAGATGGTCGCTGTTTGTACTGTCACAGGCCTTAAAGGCCAGTGGCAGAGAGACAAGCAGGCAACTAGAAGACAGTGTGGGAAGGGCTCTGACAGAGAAGGACACCCCTCCATACAGCCAGACGCCCAGGCAATGCACAGATAGGTCAGATGTTCTGAGAAAGAAATGATTTGGGACCACTTTAAAAGCTCCTGGAGGTAGGCAGAACATAACACATAAAGGAACACACATACATAATGAGAGAACTCGAGTAGTGACTGAGACCTGGCACGCAATACAGAGCAGCTCTGCCTTATCTCCAGAGCTCGTTGACTACAAATGAGATTTGCCAGGACACTATTCATTAAAACAATCATATTATGATGGAATAACCTGAGGGCCTCAGCCTTTCATATGAAGGGATTTTACCTCCAGTAATATCTGGGGACACTTGGCAACGTCTAGAGGCATCGTTTATTGTTATGACTAAGGGGAGAAAGGGTGTATTCATGGCATCTAGTGGGTAGAGGCCAGGGATGCTGCTTAATATCCTGCAATGGCTTTTCACAATAAAGAAATATTTGGTCCCAAATGTCAAGAGTGCTGAGATTAAGAGGTGCTGTCTAGAGGAACTACTAAACAAAACTAGAACTGTGCCTGCACAGTGGCTTACATCTATAATCCCAGCTCTTTGGGAGGCTGAGCCAGGCAGATCACCTGAGGTCAGGAGTTCAAAACCAGCCTGGCCAACTTGGTTAAACCCCATCTCTACTAAAATACAAAAATTAGCCAGGTGTGGTGGCGCACGCCTGTAATCCTAGCTGCTCAGGAGGCTGAGGTGGAGGATCGCTTGAACCCGGGAAGCAGAGACAGCAGTGAGCCAAGATTGCGTCCCTGCACTCCAGCCTGTGTGACAGAGCGAGACCCTGTCTGAAAACAAAAACAAAAAATTAGAACTAAAGCAAACGATTTAATCTTCCTAAAGACATGAGGACAATAGACTGTTTTAATCTTTGTACATGAAAGAGCTATGCATCCTCACTGGGCCTCAGTTTCCTAATCTGAGAAACGAGATTATTGGATTAGATAATGTAGAAAGTTCTTTCCAGCTGGAAAAAAATATATATGAGTCAAATATACTTAAAGGATTAGAATGCAGGCTGGGCATGGTGGCTCATGCCTGTAATCCCAGCACTGTGGGAAGCCAAGATGGGAGGACCACTTGAGCTCAGGAGTTCAAGACCAGCCTGGGCAACATAGCGAAACTGCAACTGTACAAAAAAAATACAAAAATTAGCTGGGTATGGTGGCGTACCCGGTGGTCAGCTACTCGGGAGCCTGAAACTGGAAGATCGCTCAAGTCCAGGAGGTCGAAGCCGCAGTGAGCTGAGACTGCACCACTGCACTCCATCCTGGGCAACAGAATGAGACCCTGTCTCAAAAAAATAAATAAATTAATTAACATGGACTACAAGATTGAGGGGATGATGGTCAGGTCAGTCCAAGTGCTAGTCTGTCTGTATCTCCTCACCTTCAAACTTCCTGGAGTCAAGGGCTGAGTCCTTTCATCAAAAATACTTCTGTATGGAGCTCCCACTATGGGCAGGCACTGTGCTAGGTGTTAGAGGAGTGCAAAGAATGAGGGGGATAGAACAAGCAAGGATAGCTATGAGACCAGCACTAATGACAGAAAGAACACCAATGTTAATTGAGTACATACATGTCAGACACAAGGAGAGGCACTCAGTATACTTTCCTCAGTCCTCACTGCATTTTATTAAGTATGCCTATTTCTCAGGCAAGGAAACTGAAGCTCAGGAAGGCTAAGCAGCTTTTCCAGAATCAGACAATGATTGGTGGAAGCTGGAGAAGCACCCCACCCCCCCAGCCTGTTTACTCCAACTCTTGAATCTTTTCTAACAACTATTGCCTAGTGCCAAAAGAGTACGCAAAGAGCTCTTACAGTCTCTTTGCTGTAAAAGAGGAAGGAGGGAGATAGCCCAACCTGGAGAGAAAACAAGAGAGATTTCCTGGGCAGGGAGACACGCGAATCATTATTTATTTGGTTAGTTAGTTTTTAGAGATGGAGTTTTGCTCTTGTTGCCCAGGCTGCAGTGCAGTGGCGCTATCTTGGCTCACTGCAACCTCCGCCTCCTGGGTTCAAGCGAGTCTCCTGCCTCAGCCTCCTGAGTAGCTGGGATTACAGGCATGCACCACCACACCTGGCTAATTTTTGTATTATTAGTAGAGACACAGTTTTACCATGTTGGCCAGGCTGGTCTCGAACTTCTGACTTCAAGTGATCCACTCGCCTCGGGCTCCCAAAGTGCTGGGATTACAGGCATGAGCCACTGTACCCGACCCTAATTCTTTTAGATACCGTCTTACTAACTCTCTTCTTCAGCATATAGAACCTGACACATCAGCAGAGAATCTAAAACAAATCATAGCCCATTGCAATGGCCTTCCAAGGCTGGGTGCAATTATTTTGTGATTCAGAGTTTGACCTGAGAAAATATTACTTGAAAGAAGTGGGTTTTAGCTTGGAAATATTTTTGTTATATATTACATTTGTTGTAACAGAATTTCTGCAGTAGACAGCAAAATTCCTTGCTAACAATTGTTCCCCACAATCCGATTGTGGGAAGACAGTGAACTAATATTTTAGAAACAAATGTGAATGTCTCCATCCCATAGAGTGTAACCTAGGCCTAAGGTAGCTATAATAACTTATACTTGCTTTTTTTTTTTTTTTTTTAAATGGGATCTCACTCTGTCACCCAGAGTGGATGGAGTTCAGTGGTGCAATCAGAGCTTACTGCAGCCTCAAACTCGTGGGCTCAACCAGTCACCCCTGCCTCAGTCTCCCAAGTTGCTAGGACTACAGTCGTGTACCACCATGCCCAGCTAATTTTCTACTTGCGGTTTTAATGCTTGAAAAGAGTATACTGATTTGTTTAACAGATAATCGTGGAGCATGTGACATGTATAGTGTGCTAGTCTCATGAGAGCATACAAAGAAATCTAGCCAGGGAAATGAAACATTAAAAGCTAAATAACAGCCCGGCACAGTGGCTCACGCCTGTAACTCCAGCACTTTGGGAGGCCAAGTGGGGAAGATCACTCGAGGTTAGGAATTCAAGACCAGCCTGGCCAACATAGTGAAAACCTCTCTACTATTAAAAAAAAAAAAAATTAGCAGGGCATGGTGGCAAATGCCTGTAGTCCCAGATACTCAGGAGGCGGAGGCAGGAGAATCTCTTGAACTCAGGAGGTAGAGGTTGCAGTGAGCCGAGACTGCGCCATTGCACTCCAGCTTGGGCCACAGAATGGGACTCCATCTGAAAATCAACCTAACAAACGAAAAGCTAGATAGATAAAGAACAATGTAAAGTAATGATTCTCAGCTGGGGGGAAATTTTGCCCTAGGATTTATTTGGCTGTTTCTGGAGATATTTTTGGTCGTCACAACTGGAGGGGTGCTGCTGGCATCTAATGATGCTGCTGCATCCTGCAATGCTCTGGGTGACCCCCTACAACAAAGAATGGTCTAGCTCAAAAGCCAATAGTGCTGAGCTTGAGAAATCCTGACATAAGAATTACATGCTCATCAAGTAGTGCCAACTCCGAGTGTTACAGAAGTTGAAAGAAGAAACCCAACACTATCAGCTGGAGTAGTCAGGGAAGGTTTTAGAGAGGAGAAAGGATCGGACTGTTCCAAGAAGAGCTAGGATTTAGGAAGGGAGGGCGCCTAGAGAGAACAGTCCAAGGAGGGACTATGGGCAGAGTGCTGGAGGGGAGTGAGTGGGAGGTTTGTGGGGGCAGTGAGCAGGCCGTCCTGGATGGAGCATTCTCTCCTCTCCACAGCCTCGAGTGGGTCAGCAGGTGACATTATCTCCACATGACAGATGGGGAAAACCAAGTCACAGAAAGCTTGAGAGGGGACCGTGTAACTGTCTCGGAGCTGGAGCTAGAGGCCAGTCCACCCATTACCCAGGCCCAGACCCTTCCCCAGTGTAACCTACTTCACCTGAGCTATGAGCCCACCCTTTGCTGATAACAGCCACCAGGAGCCAAGTGGAACCTTCAGGGGCATCACCTAGACAAAGGCTTTCTTCTGCCCCAATTCTAGCAGTACTACTCCGGAACCTCAGTGTCTGTTTATTTGAAAGGACACCCTGTAGAACCTCCAACACACACACACACACACACACACACACACACACACACACACACACACTTCTGAAGAAATAGAGAGGCAGGTAGAAAATTGAGTCATGTTCTGAAGAGCACAGACACAAAGTATGGAATACCAGTTAAGAAGAGAATCTGCTGGTGCAGAAGCCACAGAACAGCCTCTGGCCAGTGAGGCACAGTCTCTGTGAATGGAGATGCCAGCAAGCGTGGGAGAGTGGGGGAAGGAGGAGCGGGAGCGGATGGGTGTTCAGCATTGCCAGAGCAGGAGCAGTGGGGGAAACCGCACTGGGTAGAGTGAAGGGGTAACTGTAACTGGGAACTTCCCACTCAGACACTCTGAGGAGATAGAAGAGCAAAGACCGGTGCACGTCTGAAGAGGAGGGAGCAGCCAAGGTCCCTAGGCAACTCTTAACACAACCTCAGTTCCTGAGAGTCCCTTTTGACTGCCGGAGTTCCCTCCTATCCATTCAACATTTAAGGATCCCGAGGAAAAGCAGCCTCTGGAGCATGGTCAGAAAAGGTTGGAAAGGAGAATGAAGGGCAGAAGAAAAGAGCAAGTAACTGGAGGTGTTGTAGGCCAGAAGGGGATGGATTTGGGGAAAGAAAGAAGTGGATTGCCAGGGCTGCCCCGACTCCTGTGGCAGACATGGAGGAGCTGGGTGAAGTCGGTGGAGAAGGTGCAGCTTGGAAGAGCCATGCAGGAGGTGAGCTCCAAACCTGGGTCTGTCTTCCCAGCCCTGCCAGCCACCTGTGTCCAAGAGATGGGATTCATGGGAGCAAGCAGGGACCCAGGCACCACCACTGGGACTCTTCTCCCTCACCCCTCCTCATCCCAGCAGCCCTGGCCTCTAGGGCTGAAATACAGTAGTCCCCACTGATACTCAGTTTCACTTTCTGAGGCTTCAGTTACCCGTCGTCAACTGCGATCCAAAAATATTAAATGGGAAATTTCAGGAAAAAAGGTCATAAGTTTTAAGTTGCAAACCATTACCAGGCGTGGTGGCTCACGCCAGTAATCCCAACACTTTGGGAGGCTGAGGAAGGAGGATCACTTGAGTCCAGGAGTTCAACACCAGTTTGGGCAACATAGTGAGACATTACCTCTAAAAAGAAATTTTAATTTAATTTAAAAAAATTAAATTGCATGCCATTCTGAGTAGTGGGACGAAATCTCACGCCATCCCGCTCCACCCGCCGGAGATGTGTAATCATCCCTTTGCTCAGTGTATCCACGCTATTGCTGCCTGCTTTAGTCACTTAGGTGCCATCTGGGTTATCAGATGGAAATAACATAGTATATACAGGGTTCAGTACTATCTGAGGTTTCAGGGATCCACTGGAGGTCTTGGAATGTGTGCCCCGAGGATAAGCCGACCACTGTAATCTGAAAGCCTGGCTGTGTTTCACCCAGCTGTGCATGCTTTTGAATCTCCAGTGAGGCTGAAGGTGGGGGGTAGTGAAGAGCTGGTGCAGTGGTGGAGGTTCTGGTCCAGGAAGCATCTAGGCCGAGACCATAGTGATTCCTCCCACCTACCCTCACAGCTGCTTCTGCACTGGATTCCCACCAAGACGCCCTTTCTCTCAGCCCCAGTGGAACAGGGGGCACCAAGAGTGTGGCTTTAAGGACAGTGTGCTCACCCTCCCTTGCTTTGATTTTCAACTATTTCCTAGCCTGGCCTCATAAGAAAAATATAAGCACTGTGCAGACTGTGCATTTCTCTTGCCTGGGAGGCCCTGACATGATCAGAACCACAACAAACCCCAGCCTTCACCCCAACCCACTCCTGCCTCTCGCCCAGGGCTTGAAAGCAGAGGGACCAGGGTGCTGGTGCTAATGTGTGGGACCAGAGCAGGCCCCCATCCTGGTCCCTGCATTGCCTGGCCTGGAGGAGGTGCTGCTGTGAGTGATTTTCAGTCTGAAGGGTGCAAGTGGGTCAGAAGACGTTCCAGTCCATGTTCAGGAGGGCAATTGGACCCCAAGTTCAAAAATAGCCCCACCCTCCCTCCTTGTAGCCTAAGCCCCTACCTCTTGGCAGGTCATAGGTTGCAAGCAGGCTGCTGTGTTTTAGAATAGAGGGCAGGGAGCAGGGAGGTGTACTGGGGCTTCCTTCTCAAGGTGGGAGGGAGAGAGGAGAAGGGTAGGGTCCCAGCCACAGGACAGATAGTTCCAGGCCCACCTCACCCTCCAAGCCTTCCTCCGCCCCTAGGCAAAGCTTCCCACTTGCCTGATCAGTGCAAGGGCACATCTGGAAGCGACACATCCCCACCCTACTCCCAGGCCTTGAGACCTGGTTGGTTCTCACAGCTGTTCTCACTTCTTCCTGTCCGACCCACTCATTCATTCCGATGCCTGGAGAGGAATTCCCTGTGCTCCTGTTTCCACCCGTCAGTCCTCAGGGTGGGTGTGAGTGTGAGTGGACACCCAGGATTTCCTGCCTGGAGAACTGGGCCTATTGGTTGATCCCCAGGCTTCCTACCCTCGGCTTCCAGCCCCATCTAATTAATTACCTGCAGCCAGGAGCTGTATCCACAGCACTGCCTTCCCCTCCCTCAGGTGCCTCTGCAGCTCAGCCCAGAGCCAACTGCAAAGAGAGGAGGGCAGGCAACACCTCTACTCTCTTGAAGGCACAGAGGTGGGCCTGATGACCCCAGGCCATGTGAGATCTTGTTGGGAGCACAAGAAGCACTCTTCCTGCTCTTTGTCACCCTTCCATTATAAGTCCCATGTGGGTTTTCACTGTATTCCATATCAGGGCTGTGGAACCCTTGACATAATCCTACCCTACCTTCCAGGCAGGCCTAAAAGTGAGTGTGTGTGGTGGTGGCAATGTGCCTGTGTATGTGTGCTGATGTGTGTGTGTGGGGGTGTGTGGTGGTATGTGTGTGGCGGTGGTGTGCTTGTGTGGTGGTATGTGTGTGTGTGGCGGTGGTTTGTGTGGTGGTGTGTTTGTATGGAGGGGTGTGTGGTGGTGTGTTTGTGTGGTGGTGTATGTGGTGCTGTGTGTGTGTGGTGGTATGTGTGTGGTGGTGTGTGTATATGTGTGGTGGTACGTGTGTGTGATGGTGTGTGTGTATGTGTGGTGGTATGTGTGTGGTGGTGTGTGTGTATGTATGTGAGGTATGTGTGTGTGGTGGTATATATGTGTGTGGTGTATGTATGTGTGGTGGTGTGTGTATGTGTGTGTGGTGGTGTGTGTGTGGTGGTATGTGTGTGTGGTGCTGTGTGTGTGGTGGTGTGTGTATATGTGTGGTGGTATGTGTGTGTGTGGTGGTGTGTGTGTATGTGTGGTGGTATGTGTGTGGTGGTGTGTGTGTGGTGGTGTGTGTGTATGTATGTGAGGTGGTATGTGTGTGTGGTGGTATATGTGTGTGTGGTGTATGTATGTGTGGTGGTGTGTGTATGTGTGTGTGGTGGTGGGTGTGTGTGTGGTGGTGTGTGTGCATGTGTGGTGGTGTGTGTGTGTGGTGGTGTGTGTGAGAGAGAGAGTGAGAGAGAGAGAGAGAGAAAGGATGCCCTAGGGCTTCCTCTCCCTGCATACACTGGAAAAAGAGAAAAGGATTTCATATCTGCAGTCTTTTTGTTTTGTTTTGGGACAGAATCTGCCTCTGTTGCCCAGGCTGGAGTGCAATGGCACAAACACAGCTCACTGCAGCCTCGACCTCACCGGCTCAAATGATCCTTCTACCTCAGTCTCCCAAATAGCTGGGACTACAGGGCACACCACCATGCCCAATTAAAATTTAAAAAACATTTTTTTTTTTGTAGAGACGGTCTCACTATGTTGCCCAGGCTGGTCTTGAACCCCCCGGGCTCAAGCAATCTGCCCACCTCAGCTTCCCAAAGTGCTGGGATTACAGGCGTGAGCCACTGCACCTGGCCTGCAGTCTTGACATGCTGTGAAATACTGTCCTGTTTAATTTCTAGCCAACAATATCAAAAAGAATTCTCCTAAGATGGAGAGCAGATTTAGGAAGAGTTTTAGAAAGGTTCCATCACCACCGACCTGCAACAGAGTGAGTATCTGTGGCCCCTAGCATCCTGAGCCAGCAGGGGAGGGTATGGGGTGGGATGTCTATGACAAGTCTGCTGCATGCATTAGCTACTATGCTACTGTGTCCCTGAGTGCTGGCATGGGAGCCAGGTCTGGCAACTATCCTGGCATTGGCAGACGGGAGGAAGGAGGTCTCATGAGCAGATGGAGGCTTCTGCAGCAGTTCTCTCTGCAGGGCCCCTCTGTCAGAGTGTGTCAGCTTCCCCTGCCCTGGCCTTGACCCTGTCACATCTTGGCCTCAGTTTCCTAATGGTTTATCACCTTTTTTTCTGAAGATTGTCATTGCAGTGGAATATATTAAGTGCTAGGTGAGGTAACCGATGAAGGAAGTTACTTGAAAGTGCTTCGGAAGATGTCAAGAACTACACAAACTCAAGTCATGATTCTTAGTGTTTTCATCATAAAGGAGTACTACAGACGTCCCTGCCAGATTGGGAGATGTCTGAGAGTTCACCTACTCCAGTTCTTTCATTTTGCAAATGAGAAACGTGAGGCTTGGTGAAGTGAAGTGGTTTTCCAAGGCCACACAGAGCAATTAAGCCAGCACTGGAGTCCTGAGACACAGCTAGCCGTTCACTGCACATCCACAGTGAACACCGTGCTGTGCAGTGTACCACTTTACATCCATCCCACACAGCAATCCTGTGGAATACGAATATTAATTCTATAGATGAGGAAACTGGCCAAGAAAGGTTTTTTATTTTTGTATTATTTATTTTATTTTTTGAGACGGAGTCTTGCTCTGTCACCCAGGCTGGAATACAGTGGCACGATCTCGGCTCTCTGCAACCTCTGCCTCCCAGGTTCAAGTGATTCTCCTGCCTCAACCTCCCAAGTAGCTAGGATAACAGGTGCACGCCACCATGCCTGGTTAAAAATTTTTTGTATTTTTAGTAGAGACAGGGTTTTACCATGTTGGTCAGGCTGGTCTCAAACTCCTGACCTCAAGTTATCCACCAGCCTCAGTCTCCCAAAGTTCTTGGATTACAGGCATGAGCCCCTGCGCCTGGTCTGTTTTTTTGTTTGTTTTGAGACAAAGGTCTCGCTGTGTCCCCTAGGCTGGAGTACAGTGGTGCGATCTCTGTTCATTGCAACCTGCACCTCCCAGGTTCAAGTGATTCTCATTCTTCAGCCTCCCGAGTAGCTGGGACTACAAGGCTCCCGCCACCATGCCCAGCTAATTTTTGTATTTTTAGTAGAGATGGGGTTTCACCATGTTGGCCAGGCTGGTCTCCAACTCCTGACCTCAAATGATCCACCTGCCTCAGCCTCCCAAAGTGCTAGGATTACAGGAGTGAGCCACCATGCCCAGTGGGTTTTTTAAAACTCACTTACAGCTGGACATGGTGGCTCACCCCTATAATCTCGGCACTTTGGGAGGCTGAAGGCAGGAGGATCACTTGAGCCCAGGAGGTCAAGACCAGCCTGGGCAATATAAGGAGGCTCCATCTCTACAAAATTTTAAAGTAAATAAAAATAAAAATAAAATAGACTTAAAAAAACCTGAGCTATAATTCATATGCCAAAAAATTCACCATTTAAAATGTACAATTCGTGGATTTTAGTTTATTCACTAGCACCACTATCTAATTCCAGAACATTCTTATCACCAAAAAAAGAAACCCTACACCCAATTAACAGTCACTCCCTATACTTCCCTCCCCCCACCCGCTGGCAACCTGCAATCTATTTTCAGTCTCTATGGATTGTCTATTCTGGACTTTTCGCTTTATTTTCATATAAATCCAACAATATGTGGCCTTTTATGTCTGGCTTTTCACCCCCTTAAATTGTTTTATTTACAAACAGTAAAATTCACTTTTTGGTAGTTCTGAGTTTTGACGATGTAAAGTCATGTGACCACTGACACAAGCAAGACATGGAACAGTTCCCATTACTTTACACTGCTCCTCTGTCATCAGCAGTCCCACCACCCTCCCACTGACCCAACACCCTAATCCTTTGCAACCCCTGAGTTCCTATAATTTGGTCTTTTCCAGATTGTCCTATAAATGGAATCATATAATATGGAGCTCTTTGCACCTGACTGCTTCCACTTAGCATAATGCACTTGCAATTTACGCATACTGTTTTCTGTATCCACATTGCCTTCCTTTTGATTGCTGAGTAGTGGTTCATTATATGGACGTACCACAGGCTGTTTATCCACTTACCAGCTCAAGGACACCTGGGGTTTCAGTTTGGGGCAATTATAAATAAAACCAACATAGACATTCACATACGGGTTTTTGTGTCAGTGAAGTTTTCATTGCTCTTGGTTAAATCAGAGTGGGACTGATAGGGCCTGTGGTACGTTGTATCTTTAATTTTATAATAAAATGCTAAATTGTTTTTGCAAATTAGCCACACTATTTTGCATCCCCAGTTCCAGTTCTCTGTGTACTTCTCAGTATGTGGTATGGTCAGGTTTTGTGTGTGTGTGTGTGTTTTCACCATTCTGATAGGTGTGGTTATAAAATTTGCTTAAAATCATACATATATAGCCAGTGGCAGAGTTGCTATTTACTTTTAATTTACCTGTCTCCAAAATCCATTCTCTTGCTTGCTTGCTTTTTTTTGGGAGGGAGTTTCACTCTTGTCACCCAGGCTGGAGTGCAATGGCACGATGTCGGCTCACTGCAGCCTCTGCCTTCTGGGTTCAAGCGAATCTCCTGCCTCAGCCTCCCAAATAGCTGTGATTACAGGTGCCCATCACCACACCCAGCTAATTTTTGTATTTTTAGTAGAGACAGGATTTCACCATGTTGGCCAGGCTGGTCTCAAACTTCTAACCTCAGGTGATTTACCCACCTCGGCCTCCCAAGATGCTGGGATTACAGGTGTGAGCCACTGCGCCCGGCCAATCCATTCTCTTTCTACCAAAACTTAAGACCTACTGCTCCTTAAATAATCCATTTACTCCACCTTAACTCAGAGTACAGTGCCAGGTGGCCAGTAAATCCACTCTACCAGTTGGACAGCCTAGGTTATGTTGCAGGAAGAACAGTAACAAAACCTAACTCTTAGTGGCATGACATAACCAAAATTTATTTCTCATTTATTCTGCATGTGCATTGTGGGGTCAGATGGGGCTACTCTAAAACCCAGGCTGATGGAGCAATGACTGTCTGGAAGCCTGCCACTAGCTGTGGCAGAGGGCAAGAGAGCTCTGAAGGTCTCACAAAGTCAATAAAATGCTCCAGGCTAGCAGTGATAGCATCAATTTCACTTACATCCCATTGGCCACAACTACTGTAGTCCATGGCCACACCCAATCACAAATGACCAGGGAATACGATCCTATTGAGTGGCCAGAAGGCAGAGAGGAGGAAAAATCTGGCTAGCAGCTTTAATGTGTACCATGTGTATTAGTAATTACCATTGAGAAGATGGGCAACACTAAGTGAAAAGGGTACTTATAAAGGGTTGCATTATTACAAAAATTAATCCCCCTAGGATCTTCAACGCCTTCTTCACAGTTGCCACAGAAAGCCTTGGTTGGGTGCAGAGGCCCAGCAACGACACAGACAGGCCCTTCAGCTGTCCTTTCTTCTAGATTCGGGAAGAGCTCACATGGTTTATAAACATAGTTCCCATTAAGTTCAGCAACAAATAGGCTGGAAATCCAACTTTTATGCCCCTTACTCCATTCCTTGGATTCATATTCTTACTCCAGCCATGCCCTAATTCCACTTCTGGGAGTAGGTGGCAGGTACCCCCCTGAACCTCAGGTTCATGATGCTATTGGGCAGTTCATATGGGATGGAGCAGGGAGCTGTGGGAAAAGATATTCCTACACAGTCCTGCCTGAGGCTTTGGAGGAGACCCCAGAGAGCACGTTGGCCAAAGTTATTGGGACTAGCTGAGAGAGGTGCTGAATGTCCACGAGCTTGGCAGACAGAAGCCTGGCTGAAACCCTTAGTTCCTTCCATATTAGCTATGTGACCATAGACAGGCATTCTGAGTTGTTTCTTCTTCTGGAAAACGAGGATGATTATGACTTCTGTTAACATGCTATGAAGAACAGCAGTTTATTAGTATTAATTAAACATCCGGCACATAGCAGTGGCTTCATAAAGCTATTATGACTGTGATAGCTGAAGCCAAACAGCCATCCTGAGCATTTTCATACTCACTTTGCAGAGATGAGCTCTATATGAATATAGCCTGAGACTTGGTTTCACTTGACCTCGGGCTATATTCAGAGCGAAAGGATGAAGTATTATTGCTAATTCACTAAAACTAGTGTTTTATCTCCTAACTATTGGAATAATTTTATGTCATTGTTACTGTTTTCATTACATGTGCATACCTAACTTGCATGAATGAAATATAAACTTAGATGTCATAATCAAAGTCAAAATGGTGATTAATTTATGCCAATTAGGTATTCTGGGGAAATAAAGAAAAATAAATAAATAAAAAATTTTAAATGGTAATTAAAAAGAAGAACTCTAGAGAAACTTTTTGCTAACCTCTCTTACCAAAGAAGCTTACGCAAATTAAAAATTAGCTTTAATTTTTTAGCTTTTACACCACAGCCCTAGTTTTAATCTTGAGTTTGTAATTACTTTGTGTACCATCGTACGATGGCTAATAAAAATAAATTAAATCTCTAAACAGTCACATAAACTTTTTAAAAGCAAATTGGCTTGGATGGCTTCACTTGAATCCATGTCTGGGGTGCTGGGACAAGACTGCCCCCTTCTGGGACTTTTCAGTACTGCAGTGACTCCTTACTCAGGCAAGCTCTTTGCCTTCATTCATTGGAAAGGGCCCTGGTAGAACCCAGGCCATCTCTTTCCATCTTCAGGGCTGTAGGTTTTTCCATGGTGCTCAGACTGCTACAGAACAATAGTCTTCAAGTGTCTTGGGTTTTCAGAAGTCTTTCTGCATGCTCTTTGAGGAAAGAGGCCGCATCTACTCCCCAACATTGTTTTACATTGGTATAGCACTTTCCAGTTTAAAGAACAATTTCAGCCGGGCACGGTGGCTCACGCCTGTAATCCCAGCACTTAGGGGAAACCAAGGCGGGCAGATCACGAGGTCAGAGGTTCAAGACCAGTCTGGCTAACATGGTGAAATCTTGTCTCTACTAAAAATACAACAATTAGCAGGACCTGGTGGCGGGTGTCGTTAATCCCAGCTACTTGGGAGGCTGAGATAGGAGAATTACTTGAACTCAGCAGGTGGAGGTTGCAGTAAGCTGAGATCAGGCCACTGTACTCCAGCCTAGGGCGGGGACAGACCAAGATGCCGTCTCAAAGAAAAGAACAGTTTCACACTCATTATTTCACGTGTCATTATAATCCTGTGACTTAAGACGAGACACGAATGATTATCATCATTTTACATGGAAGAACAAAGGTTAAGAGACAGTAAGTGGCTTGCCCAAGAGCTCCCAGCTAGTAAATGGGAAAGAAGTTCTACAACCCAGGCCTTGGGATATGGGGTTTGCATTCTTTCTGCCTAACCATAATAAAAATATTACTTTTATTTTCACAATATCCTATTTACTATGTGGTAAGTCAGTGATTCTCAACCTTAGCTGCACACGAAAATCTCCTGGGCTACTTAAACCTAAGTAACTGTCCTGTCTGGGCCCTCCCCGACCAATTACCTTGAGTCCGTGGTGGAGTTCCAGGCATCTGTGGGCTTATTAGCTCCTCCAGGTGTTTCTAATGTACAACACCAAATGCCATTGTGTGGGGCTTTGTTTAAACCTCATCACAATCCCACCAGCTAGGTATACCAGCCACGTGCTGAAATGATATGCAAATTGCCCAGCTGACCTTGGATAGCCCCTAACACCACAATTCCCAGACTGTTCACTAAGGCGTTCCAAGTCTCCATGATGGATTCACAAGGATTCAGCACCACATTTGAAAAGTATCAGGGAGGCTGGGTGCAGTGGTTCACACCTGTAATCTCAGCACTTTGGGGGGCCAAGGTGGGCAGATCACTTGAGGTCAGGAGTTCGAGACCAGCCTGGCCAACATGGTGAAACCTTGTCTCTAACAAAATACAGAAAAAAATTAGCCAGGCAGGGTGGTGGGCTCCTGTAATCCCAGCTACTCGGGAGGCTGAAGCAGAAGAATTGAGTGAATCTGGGAGGCAGAGGTTGCAGTGAGTCGAGATCGCACCACTGCACTGCAGCCTGGGCAACAGAGTGAGATTCTGTCTCAAAAAGAAAAAAATCCTCAGGAAACAGCAATACTCAGCTGTGGAGGGCACCAAGGAACTACTGTGCTAGCTTATGGTAGTTCACCATTTCCACAGGAG